GTTGTAACGTTCTCATTTCCGGAAAGATGTTAAGAGTGTGACATTGAAGCCTGGTAACTCCCACCCTCGTGAATCACCTTTCCCTGTAACGGGCAGTAAAACGAATCCGTTCCAGCAGGTAGATGAGGTCGTGGGCTCCAAGGGGCTTCTAGCACCCATTTGTTGAAACATCTCAGTGGGTCTTCTGCTTAATGTTTACTGGTAGTGTCTTCAGCACATTCACAAAAGTACCTGGGAAAGAGTAGTGCGACGAGAACAGTGGCAAACACAGCATTCAAAAGTCCCTGCATGGATTGGAACGGACTTGTCTGACCCAGCAGAGGTGCCACCCTTGCCACTCCTGTAGACCAAGCTCCTAACAAATATTTGACCCTCTGGTGGGTTTTAAGACTTAATCAAGCAGGAGACTGTTCATCTTTCTCCCAATGAGCTGCTGGTGGGTTTGAACCATGTACCTTTGGGTTGCCAGTGCAACTCCTTACGACTAAGCCATCAGTCGCCTTAGTGAATACAGAAGGTATAGAAAGTGTAGGTATGGCAAGCTAATACAAATTTTTTTAAAGTGTATGTATGAGGGGATCTCTGGTGGCCTAGTGGCAAGAAGCTGCACTGCAATCCCAGAGGTATTCAGTTTGAATCCACCAGATGCTTTGCTGGAGCAGGGGCAATCGCCTCCTGTACCAGTCAGATCCAATTTGATGGTACACACACACACACACTCTCTCTCTCTCTCTCTCTTAAAGAGAGCTCTGGTGGCCTATTATTAAGAAGCTGTACTGAAAAGCTGCACTGAAATCCCAAAGGTACATGGTTCAATTCCATCAAATACTCTCCTGGAGAAGGAGGAGTAATTTCCTGATTTGACAGTATACACACACATACACACACAAATAATAAAATAAAATTAAAAATATAATAATAAAATTTAAAGAAATTTGGAGAAGGGAGGGAGGGGGTAAAATGTGCAACAACGAATGAATGAAAATCTAACTTTTCTGTAAACTAACTTCTGTTTTCTGTAAAATGACAAAATAAAAAATCTTATTTTTTTAAAAAAGAGTATTTTTTGGGGGAAAAAAGGAAATAAAAGTGCAAGTATGGATTCTGCCACATTTTAGTTACATCACTTAACTCGTCTATGGCACAGTTTCATCTTCATAAATGGCCCCCACATCACAGGTGCACAAATATAACCTGAACAAAGGTACAGCAAATTGTTAACTCATTACGTGGCCATTCTGTGTTAAGAATTTCCTCCAACCCTATATATTGTTTCCTAAAAGGATCGCTTGTTAAATTTTACTATCCCAGATTAGAGAGAAGGGAACAAAATCTTACAGTGAAAAGCTGCTTGTCATGAGGTGTCGTCACAGCGACCTGTGAACAGACCAGAACTCTCTCCTCTGTCAGTCCTGCCCTGCTTGAGTCCGCCGTCAACCTCACTGTCTCAATCCATCTCAGCAAGTCTTCCACTCTGAAGCTGCACTGCAATCCCAGAGGTATGCCGTTCGAACCCAACAGGTGCTCTGCTGGAAAAGGGGCAATCTCCTCCTGTACCAGTCAGATCCAATTTGACAGTACACACACGAAAAAATATTTTTAAAAAAAAGTCTTCCACTCCATCACTGACCATCCATCTGCTTTTCTGAGCATACTGTCCTTTTCCCAGGACCTCCCTCCTTCCCTCTCGAGCTTGGCCACACTCTCCAAGACAGACTTTTCTCTTGGAAATCCATGGGCTGTTTATCACTGAGAATACAAATATGTGGCCCCCTTGTACAATAGGCCCTTGGGATGCAAAGCCTGGTTAAAATGTCCAGCTCCGTGAACAGGTTTCTTGGTTACAGTCAATCTGGCAGCTTTGCAGGAGACAGAATTGGCAATCTACTCAACGGACCCAACATCCTGGGACAGAGCGAACTTAATCGATCATGCAAATCAAACTGATGCATATGGCAACATCGATTCTTTAAAACAGACTCATGGTCCCACCCGAATTAAATCCCTGAAACAGGCGAATCCCTGTTATGACATAGTAACAATCAACTCAGAGCTGACCCTCCCAGCAGGCTTTCAAGGCAGTAAATCACAAGGGAGATTGTTCACCTTTCTCTACTCAGGCAGCAGTAGATGGATTCAAACTACGCGCCTTCAGGACAACAGCACAGCTCCTTACCACCAGGCCATCAGAGCTCCCTTAGAAACGAGGCCATAAGCTGTCAGCAGAGGCCAAGATTGACAATAATTCCTTTTCCCTTAGAAAAATAACATAATCAACACTCATTGTAGCAGCAGTCGGGAAACCAAGACATAGTGGATTGCATGATCTGGTAACAAGGATCGTTTAAAGTACCAGAAAGGATGTCAGTTTAAAGACTGTAAAGTCTGATACGAGTCGTGATGTTTTCAATGCTTTCGAAGCATCTCAACGTTGGAAACTTGAGTGTAGAAAACTGGACGGCAAGCTCTGGTGGCCTAGTGGCAAGAAGCTGCACTGCAATCCCAGAGGTACGGGGTTCAAATCTACCAGATGCTCTACTGGAGGAGGGACAATCTAATCTCCTCCTGTACCAGTCAGATCCAATTTGACAACACACACACACACACACACACACACACACACACACACTCACACACAACTTTAAAAAAGGAAACGGATATCACAGGGACTGCCTGGAAGGTCGTGAAGGCAGTTGGAGCGTCCCTCAGGGAAGGGAGGCTGACACTGGTCTCTCACACCTATAGCTTGCGGTCAGGAGAGGCTGTTCCTTCAGGCATCCTGCTGGGAAAGGGGAGGACCTTCCTGGTTGAGGAAGACCCTCCATGACATGGACTGACCACAAGAGGCTTGAGCATGGCAGAGACCAAGAAGAGGGCCACCAAGAGAGTGGGGGCCACAAACAGGGTAGGGGCCAGTCTGCGCTTCAGTGTTGCTGTGTGGAAGTCACCCTGATGGCACCTAGCGACGACAGCAGTCGAGGGGACCGGGTTATTAGGTGAAGACCGGAACCTTGCCGGACTCTGTGCTGCCGCCACCTGACATATCTAAGCAATTCCTGTGAGAGCATTTATGTTTTTTCAGATAAACGCACGTTGCATTAGATTGTGGCAGTAGCTACACAACCTTGTGAAATTGCTAGAATTGTAACCTTTAAATGAGTAAATCACATACAAACTTGGCTCATATTTAAAAAGTGGGCCAGAAATATGCTGCCTATCACGCTTACTTTTGGCCAGCGTTTCCTCAATTCTTACATCCTCTAGGGTTGGGCCGTCATCTGACAGGGATGCTGCTGGCTTCCTGGGGCTTCAGTTGTTCTACTTGACTACGCAGCTTGAGAAATGCTGGGGGAGTCAAATGTGCCAGCGGCCACACAGATACAAGGTTTAACTTTGTGGACTAAGACTGCAAACCCACCTTGAACCAATGGGCTGACCCTGTGGGTCAGCTCCACCCAACCCTCAGGGCTCCAAAGGGAAAGTTGCGGAGTGTCCAAGTAACACAAGTGGTTCATGTGCTGCTCTCTGCAAGTCGGTACGTTCAGATTACTCAGAGGCTCCTCAGAAGGCCCACCTCAAAAACTCACCCACCGAGAACCCCAGGGGGCACCCCGACTCCATGAAATGCCTTTCTTTACATCTGTCACAAGCAGGTATCAAGAATTCACCATGCTACTGGCCCAGTGTTTTTGTCTGTAAAATGGGAAATAGGCATTGGTGTGGCAAGAAACGCAACACTGTGGATGGTGTGCTCCGCAGCAAAGACACCACCAACACTTGTATCTGTAAAAGGTCTTTATTCTGAGAATCTAAAAATGCGGACAGTTTGTTGAATGATTCATTAAAGGCCTACACAGGAGCCTGCTGGGTTTTCTCCTAAAATTTTAAGCACCTAGCAGGGGGGGGTGGGGGGGGAGAACAAAATCTCTTAAAACAGTATCCCGCTCCAGTTGTCTGCAGTTATGACTTTAAAATATCCTTGTTACACTGAGTTACAAGCTGAAAACTTTGGTAAAATTAGAAAAATTAAATCATTCCAGAACTTTGAAACAACAACAAAATACAATGCAACTTCCAAAAGCCCTACATTATATTTTCTTGGTACATATACAATAACTACAAAAAAAAAGAAAAAATTCATATAGAAAAGTTTGTTATTTTATTTTTTTTTAAAAAGCCCTCTTGCTATTCTCCATGGCGAAACTGCAAACTGTATCTAAAGATCGATTCCGACTGCATTCACACCCTTCCAGCCTCAGGAACAAGGGTCACCACTGTTTGAGGAGTGGGTTGGCAATTTCAGTGCTAAAAAAAGAGCCCTGTCTTCAAAAAAGCCAAAAATTGTAAGATCTCAAAGACCCAAAGGCACTTGGACATGGCTTTGTGCGTGCATCGGCTCAGAGGGCACGTGGCGAGTGGCCGGGGCGTCCCGAGGAGGTAGTTTCTGCAGCGCCCTGACTCTGCCCTGCACCTCGGATGTGTGACTCAGAAGCACATGGCAAGAAGAGGTCCCCACCTGGCTAACCCCGGCTTTCCCGCCTCGCCCTGCCGTATCTGGTGGGCAGCTAGGACGTCCTGGCGGACAGTGGGACAATGCCACCCCCAGGGTGGGCAGCCACCAGCAACCACTGGGACTGGGTCGGGGATAGATTAACACCCTCAAAAAGACTGTGCCATGCAGGCAGCTTCTGAGAACTCTTGCTGAGAGCATAGGCAGCCTCTGCAGGAAATGGTTTGTAATTGTCTTTTAAAAAAGTATAAAAACAAAATATAAAATTTTTTTTCACCCTCCCCCTTGAAAAATCCCCAATCTTCTATTTAAAACAAAATAGGGAGAAATCCAACATCTTTTTTAAGCCGTAATGTAGAAATGCCTGAAAATTTGTGAATCTCAGGTAAAACCACCCAAAGGCGGAGAGGAGCCCTGGCGGGCCGTGGAGTGGGGGACGTGTACATGACGGGCCAGGGTGGGGCTGGGTCAGGCCCGGCCCGGCGCCGCATCACCGGCCGCTGCCGTAGCCGGGGAACAGCTGACTGAGCATGGTCTGCAGGGGCTGGTTGACCTGCATGGCATAGTTGCGGCCCAGGTCGTAACGGCAGGCCGGGCAGCTGAACACCTGCGCCCGGAAGGACCTGTCCAGGCAGCCCTGGAAGAGAAAGCGGGCAGTCAGGGCACGGTCCACGCTGTCCGGCTCCTCTGCAGACTGCAGGCAGTTTCAGCCTAGAGGCCTGGCACCACATCACTGGAGGGGGACGCGTGACGTTATGCAGGTACCTCAGAGGCCATCCTGGGGACCAGCGGGCCGGGGCCAGGCGCGGGGCCTCAGTGGGCACTCACCTTGCACACATTGTGCTGGCACGCGGTGGTGATGGGCCGGAACACCACCTCCTGGCAGCAGATGCACTGGAATGTCTCCTCCACCGCGCTCAGGAACTTCTGCGAGGACAGTGCAGGCGTGTGAGCAGCAAGGCCTCCAGAGACCCCCGCCAACTGTCCTCAGCAGAATCTTCCAGAAACGGAAGGCATCGACTGTGGGGGCAGCATCTTCCCCATCTCAGGCCCGAGGGGTGAGTGTGCCCATATAAGAAAAAAAACAAACAAACCTGAGACCCAGAGAAGGGCAGGTCACTGTGTGAGTGGACAAGGGGGGCAGCCCCCACGGGGCCAGTGCAGGACATGGCCTGACACAGCTGCCCGGGCTCTCTTGGCAGGATGGGGCATTTCAGCTCCCAGTCCCCCAAACTGTGGCGAGTCAATCTGTGTGTACAGGTTGCTGGCATCCGCCTGCCCAACTCCCCTGCGTGGGCCTGATGTAACCAGGAGAGCTGTCTTCCTAAGCCCTGGCCGAGTGTTCATAAGCAACCGGCCAGGTCAGCTCTCCTGGGGGAGCTGGGCACGAACGCCAATCCTGAGGGCTGACCAGCCAGCCCAGCTCACCTGCCGCCCGTCCTTCAGCGACGTGAGTATCTCGGCCCACAGCTTGGCGTTGCTCTTGTCCTGCTTAACGAGGCCGTCCTGTTCGGCCGTGAGCTCGTAGGGCTCCACCTTGGTCTTCTTGGAGTCCTCGCCCTGCGCCTGGGAGGTGCCCTCGCCGGCTCCTGGGGCAGAACGGCACAGAACAGAGAGGGGAGGGTAAGGGCTGGGGCTGGGGCGCCCGCTCGGGGTCGGGGTGAGGCCCAGTGGACGCTCACCTGCTGACTTGCGCTTCCGCTTGCCCTTGCCGGGGGATGAGGTGCCTGGCTCCTCCTCATCGTCCACCTCCATCTTGCTGTTCTCTTTCCTTGCCAGGGCTTCCAGATAGCCCTCTGGATACTGCAGGAGAGGTCGGGATGGGACGGAAGGCCGACTCAGCACGGCAGGCAGCAGCCCAGGGGTCAGCATGACAAACGTCCATGCAGCAAACCACAGAAGGCACAAAGCCGGGCCCTCGGAACCCGGAGGCCCGATCGCCTCTCACACACATGGGACCCCTGGCTCCTGGCCTGACTCCACTGCGCAGGGCTGGTGACCCTTTCAGATGATATCCTAACGGGACTCTGGCCCCATCCCCGTGCTGTCAGTTGTCCGAGGTTGCCGTGAGGAGCCTCTCCCACCGTATCCCAGGGAGACTTGAGTCATCAAAACCCCGTTGCCACCGGAAGCTGGCATCGCCTCCCATCTCACCTTTCCTTCCCATCCTCAGTGTCTGGAATTCCCTGTGGTGCTAACATTATGTTCCAAAGATGCTCCCAAGAGGGCAGGTCCTACCAGACTCTCAACGGTAATTAGGATTCCGTAAATAATCCCACATTGATGTGATTCGCTGTAAAGCGGCTCACCCTGCCTAACAGCAAGTGTGGTAATTACAGAGCGGAAGGGAAGCGGCCATCCTCACCCAAAGCGCTCACGCACGAAGGGTCTCGAAAGAGGTGGGTGCGACCAGGGACCGCTGCGCCTCACTCCCTCATCGACACCATATGATACCATATACTGTTCTCAAGTTTCTGCTTTGAGCGTGGAAAGGGCTGGGAGCACAGGAAGACCAAGCAGGTGCACAGAAATGAATTCCAAGGAGATTGACTAAATGCTGCTGTTGCATCAAACCCACCCTCACTGAGCAGCTTGGCCTGAACCCTTCTTGTGATCCGGCCCGCGGGGGACCTGTGACGCACAGGGCGCTTTTCTGGGAGGCGGGCTGAAACCTGCTGGCATCGTGACTCCTGTAAAACTCCGGTGCACGCAGGTGAGGAGCAAACCGTGGCCGCCCACAATCAAACACAGAAATGACACATCCTAAGTGACTCCCAGGGGACGGACGCTCCAGGTGTTGAGAGGACGTAAATCCCATGAGGAGATCCTCCATGGACTTGAACTGCTTGCCTTTGGGTTGGCAGCACAGCTCCTTACCCATGAGGCCAGCAGAATCTCCTCAGTTTTGTATCTTTTCCAGGGAAGCTTGGAATTCCACCCTTAAACTACCATAATGTTTCATACTAATGCTCTTAATGATTCTATTTTTATGCAAATGACACGTGCTTCCCATGTCTCTCCGTGCTCAAGTATTTTTTTTTGTAACACATAGGGGATATTCCTTTACTACAATAAATTGTTTACTAAAATATTAAAGGTAGAGATGAGAGAGTAGCTTTGGCAAACAATGGCTAGAATTATTTGCATAAAAGCATAACACATGCATAAAAATATCCAGTCAGCTCATCTTTTCTAAAGCATTATCTGCAGGCCCTGTGCCCACCCACAGCCAAGCTTTAAGACAGTGAGCAAGGGGTGACGACAGCAGTGCCTGAGTGTTTCTAGTCCTGGGGAGCCACCCACACCGCGCGGGGAAGGCTGGGTCCCGGCCAGGGGGCGCACCTGCATGGTCAGCCCCAGCCTCTTGGAGCGATTCTTCCCCTCCTTGGTCCAGGGCCCAGGCTCGCTGTCATCCCTCCGCAGCAGGTACCGCCACACCAGGAAGCCGGACTTGCCCTTCTCAGGCCAATAGCGCACAACCTGTGAGAAGGCAGGCAGGTCAGTGGCCCAGGCTGGGTGGTCCTGGATGCAGAGTGGTGAAGGGCCTGGGGCTCACCTTGTAGATGCCATCGTAGCGGTTACCCTCGGCCGGCGCGTACTTGCTGCGTTTGCCGCCCTTAACATTACGCACCACGCGGACGGGCTTCCCCGAGCGCCAGTCCTTGGCTTCGGCCCCTTCTCGGTCATTGATGGGTGCACTACAGTTCAGAGCAAGTGCCCTGAAGGGAGAGGGGACCCAGGTGAGGACAATACGTCCCCCGGTGACAGGTCGAACAAACTGTGCTGATGCCAACATTAGGTTCTCAGTCTGGTTCAAACCCAGCAAGAGCCCAATGACAAAAACCCCAAGCCAGCAGGCTCTGACTCACGATGACCCCCCTCGGGCTGGTGGCTGTGGGTCCCTCAGAGCCTTCAGGGGAACCTGGCCTGCAGGTCACAGTTCTGATTCCAAAGCTTCCTGCTGTCTTAAGGAACCCCATTTGGGGCACCTGTGTGACATGCATGAAGCTGATGTTGCCAAGGCTGTCATTTTGCTGGGAGCAGGTATATTCCCTAAACTGAGCATTTACTGGGAGCACCATGTCAACTTGAAAAACATGGTGGTTTTTTCTAAGGATATATAATAAAAGCGACCCACGCATGTGTTGCAAAATACTGGCCCAGATCGTTCCCTGCAATGAGCCCAACGTCCCAGGGCTGGGTTCTCTGCTTTCCTTTTAACGTTTACAAACACAATGTGGTTTTCCATCCGTGACGTTAATCAAAACAAGTGTAATGTAATAATAATAACAAAGAGAATTCCTCATTTCCTCCTTGTGATCTCATGCGATCATTTCGTGTTCTGCCTGGTTTTGTCAATAAAGTTTTACTGGCACACAGCAACACCATTATGGCTGTCGTGGGGCTAGGAGAGCAAAGCTGAAGTGTGGCCAGAGACCACACGGACAGCAAAGTCACGTTGACCCTCTGAAGTGTCTCAGTCCTCCTAAAGGGTGGCAAGGCGGGATAAGGAGCGGATGCCCACCTGCACGGGCACGGAGCCCTCTGTCCCCTACCTGTTGGTGTGCGTGAGTTTCTGGTCACAAGACTGCTCAGCGGTCCGTTTGTTGCCGGAAAGATCCCGTCCGCCACTCCCCGTGTACGTGAAGGAATTCCCATGGTCCTGAAAGATACATGGCAGGATGACCCTACCTGCCCACTGACAAGAAGCCTGTTTTCTCCCTCACTCTGCTGAGCTTCCCAAGAAAACACGCACCACGTCATCCTCGTAACCCCCGGCCAGCACCAAGGAGTAGGCTCCATCGTTGCTGCGGCCATGGATGCCGGCCACGTGTGGCCGGTGGACGCCCGACTCGCTGACCTGCAGAATGACAGAGGACAAACAGCTTAGTCCCAGCCTCGCCTGACCTTCACGATCTGCAGCTGGACTTGAGGGCCAAAGCGGTCAAGCCCCCTGGCCAGCGACGCACAGAATGAAAAGCAGTCTCTTCCAGTCATCTGACAGCGCCCTTCTGGACCATGCCACCAGAGACCAGACTCCCATCTCTCCGTCTCAGGACTGAGATCACCAAGACCCATCAAGGTAAGTACAGGTGGGAACACGGCCCCCACCCCGAGGGAGGAGACCAGCGCAGGAAACATACCTGGACTCGGAAGCGCCACATGGTGCCCACAGGGATGCCTGGGATGGGGCCATAGTGATTAGACGGGACAATGGTGCACTCCTTAGTTCGGCCCACACACGCCATGCCCTGTCATTCAGGAGGCAGAGAGCAGGGTCAGTGCTGGTCAGTGGGCAGGGCCGGCGAGCAGGGGTAGGGTCAGTGCTGGTCAACGGGCAGGGCCGGCGGGCAGGGTCAGCGCTGGTCAACGGGCAGGGCCGGCGGGCAGGGTCAGCGCTGGTCAACGGGCAGGGCCGGC